GCTAGCACTGTGAGGAAATGGGATTGGCTCAGACATCCTCAGGGCAGTTTGGCAGTATCTGAAGTGAGGAAAAGATCAGAGTGACAGACTAAGACAGAGACAGAGAGACAAAGACAGAAAGAGGGGAAGAAAGAAAAGACATACACACACTCGTGCACATAAATGCCCATCTCAGCGACTGGAAAAAAAGCACAGTAGAACATTTAAGTAACCTAAATGTCCCAGATCTTAGTTCCCTGACCAGGGATTGAATCCAGGCCACGGCAGTGAAAGCACGGAGTCCTAACCACTTGAATTCCCAGAGAATGGACTAAATTGATTAGAATATTTCCACACAATGGAATAGACAGGACAGCTTACAATATTGGGCAAATCTGTATCAGTTGATATGGAAAGATGTCCGTAATCAATTCAATGAAAAAAGTTAAAAAAAATAGTAGATGTCGGGACTTCTCTGGTGGCTCAGTGGTTAAGAATACACCTGTCAATGCAGGGGACACGGGTTCGAGCCCTGGTCTGGGAAGATCCCACATGCTAATGAGCAGCCAAGCCCGTGAGCCACAACTACTGAGCCTGCACTCTAGAGCCCGCATGCCACAACTCCTGAAGCTCGAGCACGTAGAGCCTGTGCTCCGCAACAAGAGAAGCCACCGCGATGAGAAGCCAGCACAGCGCAACGAAGACTAGCCTCCTCTCTCTGCAACTAGAGAAAACCTGTGTGCAGCAACGAAGATCCAAAAAAAGCAGCCAAAAATAAATAAATTTAAAAAAATAGTAGACGTCTTTTAAATTTAACCAAATACGCAGTATACTAACAGTGCTTATTTCGTGGATATGAGAGGTAGGTGATTTTCACCTTCTTTATGCTTATTTGAATTGTGTGATTTTTATTTTTAACAGTGAGCATGTATTTACTTTTATCCTCAGAAATAAGAAACTTTATTTTGAAAAAAAAAAAAAGAGTTAGGTTGGTGGCTGCCTAGCGGGCCACCCTTCGAGGTGCCTGCCTACGTGTCAATCCAAGGGCTCCTGGAGGAATATACCGAATGAAAATCACAAGAGGTGATCTTGAACTGTCTTCCAGTTCTAACATTTCAAATGGCAAATATTTTTTCTCTCTGGCATTTGCTTATCCCTGAGGTGATAGGTGGTTTTCCAGTCATCGTAACAGAAACATATAAAATGTTTTCCCACCACTCTCCCCATGTATATTTGCAAATCTGCATTGTTCTTTTCAACGAGTGCTTAAGGTTCCATTAACCTGTCATGTTTAATATTCAGCCCATTTTCGGAGTTCTCTTCCTAGAAGAAAACAGTCATCAGAAACATTTTATTTCTATGTTTGCTTTGTGACAACTGACACTTTTTTAATCTCCCATTCTAGACTGTGACAGAGTGTTTTTGGTTGAGGTTTGTTTGTTTTGCAGTTATTAATTTTCTTCCAGTCAAACGGTGACATAGCTTTTTAATAGGGTAGACATTTTACCTTAATACTTTATCTTAAGTATCTCTATATCCTACAAATGAGTTTGGCACAGAATAACTTAATAGATATTATGTGAGTGAATGAATGTATGACGGAGGACAGTCACTATTGTAGATAATGCTGTCATAAATACCTATGTTAAAATGGGTTTTTTCTTCTACTATGTTTTGAGCTTGCTTTCAGGCTTTGGCACTGTCAGTAATTACATTTTGAGTGAACACTTGCTGTCAAGGCCCAAGAGCTAGCTAGATTGCACCAGGTCCAAGGACACAGCCTCACATGAGACAGAACAGCCCTTTGCACTTGTGGACCTGACATCTAGAAGCAGGATTACTGCTCTCACAAGCATTCGTTTTCACACAAACTATTTCTCTTTTTATTTTTCTATTTGGGGGGATGGAGGAGGTGTCTCAGCTTCTTTTCTTAGATATCCTTAAACATCCATTCCAGATTAACCCCCAAATTTAGCACTCTGGGGTTACCACTGCCTTAAACTTTAAGTCCTCATTCCTTAGAGTAATAAACTGAGAAGTCCCAAAGTAGAGAACAAAAGAAAAAGAATTAAGCTATAACCATGTACCCAAACCCTAAGTGCTGGTGGTCTGGGAATCTCACCTAGAATGTAGAGGAGCCACTCCTTCCCTTCGAATGTAGACAGCAGCCTCTCCCACTGGGCTTGCCAGAAGTAGCCAGAAGCACCCCAAAATCTCTGAAGATGCCTTGAAAGAAAACTCATTCATGTTTCTGGGTGAAGACTGGTGGGTGGGCAGCTCCTAAATCCATTCTCTGCCCATAGACCGCCACCGCACGGCCCCCAGCTCCCGAATTAGAGCTGGCCGAGAAGACTCACCATGTGACTGAGTTCCAGAGGGCCACAAGCAAGAGAAGGCCAGAGCCCAGGATGAAAGCCGTCCTCCTCATGGAGCCCCAGATGTGTCCCTCCTAGGGGAGGACAAGAAAGCGTCAGGTCCCAGCAAGCCTCCTGCCTTCACACGCAGCTCACTGCTGAAGCCCGGCAGGAGTGAGGTGCCATCAGGATCTCAATCGTGCCACCATGGCACATCTGCTGACCTTTTCCCAACTTCCGTGGAAGGCTCTTCCTTATCAAGAGCTCTCAGGCTGTGTGCGGAGGTGAGTATGAAAGAGCTTAAGGTTGGGGGAGGGAAGAGAGCAAACCTGATCCAGAGAATCTAGCATGCAATTTCATCACCCAGAGAAGGACAGGTGAGCTTTCCAAGAGCCATGGGATTTCATGACCAGTCTTCTTGTTGAACAGAGATGCAGATTATTTGTACATTGGAATCACCTGGGAGCTTTCAAAAAATCCCAGTATCCAGGTTACTCCCCAGCCCGATTACATAAGAGTCTCTGCCGGGGCAGGGGAGGTGGGGCTGGGCCTCCCTGTCTTTTAAAGGTCCCCAGCTAATTCCAATGGACAGGCGGAGCTGGGATGGCCATCACAGAAGGATCTGCAGAATCCTTGATGAGGCCACGGGGACTTCAACTGTGTTCCTGAGCCAGGCCTGTTTTCCCATGCCCATCACCCTTTTGCCCTTGAAGAAAAGAGTAAATAAACATATTTTCTGCCTTGTAATATGTCCTCTGCCTTCCGGAGATATTAGCCTGGGCTGCCAGCTGAACGGGACAATGATGGCTTCTAGGGGCAAAGAACAGACCGCTGGCCATCACTGGGCGGTCCTTACATGTTCTCCTCCAAAAGCCTAAAACAGTGGTCATTGCGAGCTCGATGGTCAACCAGCAGGTCCCAGACTTGCGGAAGGAAAACCCTGGCTGCCAGGTGTGTCACCAATTTCTAAAGTACCTTGGGCAGGAATGACAAATGTCCATTACAGCCTATGTTTCTACGCCCAGATGCCGTCTGCTAATATTCTTTCATGGGAGAGGACTGGAGGTGGTGGTCCCTATAGGTGTGTGCAGTTAGTGAACCAGGTCACATACACTGTTGTAGGGGAAGCTGATCTAATAGGGGGCCAGGTTTTAATCCAGCCTTTGGAGATCTAAAGGAGCAGACCGTTTTGACTGACTCATTCAGAGCAACCTGAATCTGCACTGACTCTTTTCTTCTCTGATTACCCTATCCCACTTTTGATCAGAAGTTAGTAAGTCATTTTCCGTGGCGAGTGAAATGTTTTTAAAGGTCTACTCGGGTCCTGAGGTTTGAAAAATGACCTTCTCTCTCTCTGAGCTCTGAAAATGACCGTCTGTTTCCCTCTCTCTCTCTCTGTCTCCCCCCGTTAAGGGCTGGATCGCCAAGACCACAGAAACTTGTTCTTTTATACAGGCTGTTCAAAGGTCACCCCCAAATTTGCCAGACAGTTCATCTTGGGCTTTTGCAATTAGTCCTTTTTTAGGATTCAAAGGACCCTTTTCCTGAGCTTTCCAGATTCACTAGGAATTTTTCATTTGAGTTTAATCAAATCAAGCCAAGTCAAATTTAAAACCTCGATTTCACATGTAAGATTAGATGTGTTTTCAGGGATCGTGGTGTTTTCTCTCTCTAGCAGCCTGAGGGCCAGGTAAATTGACAGGACAAAGGTCTCTGTGAAGGGCAGGAGCATGCAGCACAGAAGTTATCTGGGCTCAACAGCTGGTTCCCACCCCCCAGTTCCCAGCCCCCAGTGGGCCTCTCTTGTCCCCAGAGCAGCTGTAGAAAGGGGCGGTTCCAAAGGCCTGAGCCTGGGGCATTCTAAGGGCCAAGAGACCTTGGTGGGACAGCTACGGGGCTCTTCAGCTAACTTCATGCAGGCAAAGGGGCTTGAGTTATAATCAGGCAGCTGGAGTCAAGTGATTCTGCTCAGCTACTGAAGCGAGCACTTCACTGATGTGTCAGCTATGTCCCGAAGCCTTGGGGGGGGGGGGCGGTGTTGTCAGTTATGCTGCAGGCGCAGATGTGGAAAGGGTCACTGGCTGCGTTCTCACCAGTTTGGTGGGTGAGGTGCTCGCGTTTACCTGCTTTTGCTTCTCATTGTGTGGCACACTTCCAGCTTCTCCCTTCATCTGGAATGAAAAAGCACAGGTGAGCCTGGATGTCATTTTCACATGCAACCAAGGAAGTAAGGAATAGAGAGAGTCAAGGTGAATGGCCAGCAGTGGTTTTTAATGCCGGCCACTCATTAAAATCACCTGGGAGTGATTTTACAAACACCAAAAAAAAACCCTGGTGGACAAACTGATTCTAAAATTTACATGGAGAAGCAAATAAGCAAGAATAGCCAGGAATACAGCAGAAGAGTAGAGGAGGGACGGGCACGAGGGATACTAGGTCTAGCAAGTCTTAAAACACATTATAAGGCTTTTTAAAAGATTTAATTATGCTCTTCTCATTTCTTCAAGGTAGTAAAGAGTTGTTCCTGTGAGATAAAAGAATATCAGTGGACTCTTAACCAGGACTTAAAGAGTAGCTCTAACTTGAGTTGGTTCAATTGTGTATTCTTTGTTATTATTTTTCAGTTTAAAAACAACAACCAAGGTTTTTCTGAAACCAGTCAACGGTTCTATGGCCAAGCAGATGGATAGGAATGCGGTGCATGAAACTCCTTCTAAAATGCTGTCAAACAAGAACTGGCTAGAAGGAGAATAATTAGGAACGCGTTTGAGATCTCCATTTGAAAGTATGACAGGGTAAATCTTTCTGGAAGTCTTAATAAAACCAATATCTAATAAGTGGAGAAATTAAGGCTTGATCATTTTTATTTTCTGATATGATGTTGCAGAATTTTCCTGGCTATATAAAGATAATGATCAAATGAAAAATGAAAGCTATTTTAAGGAACCCAAACAGTAGTTATTAGACAACTGAATAAAAATTCTGATGTCAAAAGGTGGTGAACACAGATTAAAAAACAATTGCATCTATACTTAGCAAAATGAAACAAAAAGGATAAAAAATGGCATTGTCCATAATATATGCTGAATGAGATATTTTTGGCCACGTAAACATATTTTTTTTTAACATCTTTATTGGAGTATAATTGCTTTACAGTGTTGTGTTAGTTTCTGCTGTATAACAAAGTGAATCAGCTGTACATATACATATATCCCCATATCCCCTCCCTCTTGCGTCTCCCTCCCACGCTCCCTATCCCACCCCTCTAGGTGGTTGCAAAGCACGGAGATGATCTCCCTGTGCTATGTGGCTGCTTCCCACTAGCTATCTACTTTACATTTGGTAGTGTATATATGTCCATGCCACTCTCTCACTTCGTCCCAGCTTACCCTTCCCCCTCCCCGTGTCCTCAAGTCCATTCTCTACTTCTGTGTCTTTATTCCTGTCCTGCCCTTAGGTTCATCAGAACCATTTTTTTTTAGATTCCATATATATGTGTTAGCATACGGTATTTGTTTTTCTCTTTCTGACTTACTTCACTCTGTATGACAGACTCTAGGTCCATCCACCTCACTACAAATAAATGAATTTTGTTTCTTTTTATAGCCATGTCAACATATTAAGTGTGCTTTTCCCTGCTTTTATTTTTATGCATCACAAGTCAATGCGTACAGAGATAAACTTTTTTGACTTAAAAAATAAAAACCTTTATTCTAAAGATTATACAATACTTTGGCACTAGAGGTTTTTTTTAAAAATATTTTTAATTAATTAATTAATTTACAGCTGCATTGGGTCTTCGTTGCTGCATGCAGGCTTTCATTGCGGTGGCTTCTTTCTTTGCGGAGCACGGGCTCCAGGTGCGTGGGCTTCAGTAGTTGTGGCTCGCAGGCTCCGTAGTTGTGGCGCACGGGCTTAGTTGCTCCGTGGCATGTGGGATCTTCCCAGACCAGGGCTTGAACCCGTGTCCCCTGCATCGGCAGGCGGACTCTCAACCACTGCGCCACCAGGGAAGCCCAAGCAGGCGGATGCTTAACCACTGCGCCACCAGGGAAGCCCGGTACTAGAGTTTTGATCTAAGTTTTGAGGACGATATTCCTTTTACTACAAGCTAGTTCTATACTGTCAAAAACATCTACAGAAGTATATCCTCCACACTTACACACATACTGCACAGAACTATAAAATCTGGCAAGGTAGAAACTTTCTGGAATTTTCCAGTGTATTTTCAAGGTACAGCAAGCCAAAAGAAAGCATTGTAGACAAGTATGCGTGCTGACTCGGGCAGTGTTTCCAACGTAACTGTAGTGTAACACATTCATATACATATACACCCAGGGAATATTTCAGAAGCATCAGTTCTTTACAGCTTACACTTGATCACGGATGTGGGTACTTCTCTGACAGTTCATCCTGTTCTTGTGCCAACACCACCTGACTGACCCTGCGGTGGCTCCATAGTGAGGTCAAGGCCAGTGCCATCTGCTGTTTCTTTTTGTTGTTGTTGCTGTTGGTGTGTTTCTTGAAGAGACATAGCCTCTTGGCTTTGTGGTGTTGTTAGGGTTGAAATGCTATTCATTGTGTCTTCCATTTGTTGCATTTGAACCTCCAGTGTTTCAAACCGGTGTTCAAATTGTCCTTCAAGGCAGAAGTCTTTGTCCGTGTTCATACTCCTCAATGTAGCTTCCAAAGATCTGACTACACCTGCCAGACTTGCCTTTGCTTACTGCTACTGCAGTTTGGTCTCCAGCTGCCACAGCATTTACCCTAGGCTTTATTCTCACAAAATTAAGTGCTAGGTTTTTCTGATGGTTTGTGTCTTTAGAGTGTGTTCTTGTGACTTCTCTGTGCCAATCTGAATGACCTTTTAGATCTTGGCCTTTTTCAGTCTCTTCTTTATCACATTTCTTGGCATTTCTATTAAGTGTTTTGCAACAAACTTTGTGTTTCTCCATATTTGAAATAAAGCCATGACTTCTCTGTGAAGGTGACAGCCTGGGACGGTGGCTGGGTTTGGTGGGAGGGTGCTTGGGGATTGCACTTACCCTGAGTTGCTGCCCAGCTTGACTTGGTTGACTGTCCCCCTACTTGTCTTACCATAAAGGTTTTTTTGTAATAAGTTTATTTATTTATTTTAGTTTTGGCTGCGTTAGGTCTTCGTTGCTGCACACAGGCTTTGTCTACTTGTGGCAAGTGGGGTCTACTCTTCGTTGCGGTGCACGGGCTTCTCATTGTGGTGGCTTCTCTTGTTGCGGAGCACGGGCTCTAGGCACACGGGCTTCAGTAGTTGTGGCACACGGGCTCAGTAGTTGTGGCTCGCGGGCTGTAGAGCGCAGGCTCAGTAGTTGTGGCTCAGGGGCTTTGTTGCTCCGTGGCATGTGGGATCTTCCTGGACCAGGGCTCAAACCTGTGTCCCCTGCATTGGCAGGCAGATTCTTAACTACTGCACCACTAGGGAAGTCCCACCATAAAGTTTTTTCTTTTTTTAAAATTTTTATTTAATTAATTTATTTTTGGCTGCGTTGGGTCTTCATTGCTGTGCGCAGGCTTCTCTTCTTGCTGAGAGTGGGGGCTACTCTTCGTTGAGGTGCGCGGGCTTCTCATTGTAGTAGCTTCTCTTGTTGCAGAGCACGGGCTCTAGGCGCATGGACTTCAGTAGTTGTGGCACGTGGGCTCAGTAGTTGTGGCTCGTGGGCTCTAGAGTGCAGGCTCAGTAGTTGTGGCGCACAGGCTTAGTTGCTCCGTGGCATGTGAGATCTTCCTGGACCAGGGCTCGAACCCATGTCCCCTGCACTGGCAGGCTGATTCTTAACCACTGCGCCACCAGGGAAGTCCCACCATAAAGTTTTAATAGTTGAAATTGTGTGCTAGCGCATGAGTAGGCAGACATATACAACAGATTAGAAAGTCTGCAAATAGACCTTAAAATATACGTGGGAATTTAGTATATAATAAAAAGAAATCAATATCAATGGACTCTAAACTGAAAAGATGCTGAACTTCCTCCATAATAAGAGAAATGTGAATTAAAACTATAATAAGATATTATTTCTCACCTGCCAGCGTGACAAAATTCCAAAAGTTTGGCCACATGCTCTGCTGATGAGACTTTAAAATTGTATTTGTTCTTTTTAAAAACATCTTTATTGATATAAAATTCACATACAATACAATTTACCCATTTAAGTGTACATATATATGGCTTTTAGTATATTCAGAGTTGTGCATTCACCATCACAGTCAGTTTTTGAATATTTTCATTATCCCAAGAGAACTCCTACACGCTTTAGCCATGAATTTCCTGTCTCCCTATCCTCACCCACCTCTAGCCCGCGATAATCACTAATCCACTTTCTGTTTCTGTGGAATTGCCTCTTCTGGACATTTCATATTAATGGAATCCTACAATATGTTGTCCTTTGTGGTTGGCTTCTTATACTTAGCATAATGTTTTCAAGGTTCATCCATGTTGTGGTATCTATCAGTACTTCACTCCTTTTTATTGACAAATAACATTCTGTCATATGGATATATCACGTTTTGTTTATCCATGCCTCTGTTGATGGACATGGGGATTGTTGCCACTTTGTGGCTGTTATGAATAATGTTATGAACAGTTTTGCATAAGTTTTTGTGTAGACACGTTTTTATTTCTCCTGGATGTACGCCTAGGAGTGGAATTGCTGGGTCATATAGTAACTATATTTAACTCTTTGAGGAACGTTAAATGGTTACACCATTTTACATTCCCAACAGTAGTAATGTATGAGGTTCCAACTTCTCTACATCCTCACCAACACTTATTATTGTCGCTATCGAATAGTGTCATGACCTGGCTGAAGAGGAGCGTTACAGTTCATCGTCCTGCCATGTGACAAGGGTGAAGGAACCTAGAGAAAGGAGGCCAGGTGAGTTTATAGATGGCAGAGCCAGGATCAGGCCCAGCTTCCAATATCTCTAAGGATGTTTTATTCTTTTGTGGATGTTTATGCTTGGTTTTATTATTCTAGATGCATTTTTACCAGCTTTGACCTTAGGAAATACAGCTTCCCCTTGACCCTCATTTCTTAGAGAATACTTAGGCTGGAAAAGGGAAGAGAGGAATGGTGACATATAAAGTGCCTCCAGGGGTTTGAGAAGTTAGGACAGCAGAGGGAGGTGATAAGCTGCTCACCAGCTCCACTGTGAATCACATCACAGCAGAAGGGAGGCAGTCAGCTCAGAGGAAAAGCCTGTCAGGGAGAAATACCGGGAGGTTTGATTCCCGGTCAGGGAGATAGCACCTGGTTTAAGAAAAGGCACCTGAATGTTTGGTGCAGTGTCAGCCCAGTCTCTACCTGGAGGCAGGGGAATGGATTTCAGCCACACTGTAGCCCCCTCAGCCCCACCCCCCCAGGCCTGCTTCTTTGTCACCTCCACTCCCTCCTCCAGCACCCTCTGTTACCTGGCCAGCAGCAGGAGAACCTGCTGTAGCTTGGAGGTGTGGAGCTCCGCCTTGTGCTGACTTCTCAAAAAAAAAAGAAAAACACACAACAGAAGAGAAGGAATAAAGAGAAGGTGCAGGCATTCACTCCCTGTTCTGACCCAGGAGGGCAGTCAGGATTCCTTTGCTTACCTGAGTGTTAGGGGTGCTCTATAGTCATATTCTGTACCGCCTGAGGCTTCCAGAGGATAACTGCACAAGCGTTTCAGGATGACAAGTCTCAGCCCCAAACTATGGTAAACAGCCCTGCCCCACATTGGGGACAACAGATGTTACTCAGTAACCTGAATTTATAAGGATTCCCAAGAATTCTCCTTTTTAAAAGATGTTTAAAATTGTATTTTGGAGTATAGTTGATTTACGGTGTTGTGTTAGTTTCAGATGTACAGAAAAGTGAATCAGTTATACATATACATACATCCACTCTTTTTTTAGATCTTTTCCCATATAGGCCATTACAGAGTATTGAGTAGAGTTCACCGTGGTATACAGCAGTAGGTCCTTAAGAATTCTCCTTTAAGTAGTGATTTTCAAAAAAAAAAAAAAAAAAAAGTGATTTTCTCCCTCTTCATTGTGCTGAACAATTCCTATTGGCCCAATTCCCAAGTTTGGCCCACATCCTTAAGATGGATACGGGCCCATTCATGAGGTTACCTTTCACACAGTGGTAGAATTCTGGGATGAAGCAGGGTCATTTTCAATCTGGCGGTTTGCCTTCTGCCTGGAGTCCCAGAAAGCACAGATCTTTAAGTACCTAGTTGTGCTAGGTACTTTGGGGGCTAAGCCTGTAAAGTGTCTTAATGACAAGGAAGCAAATATTAAAGGAAACACCTCAAGTTGGGAACGACTTGGAGATCTTAATATCTGCAAACCATGTGCAGAAAGGTAGACCCTTCACATCACCATGCATTTCCCTCCTCAGTGCTTGTTAGGAAGTGTGAAAGGCTCTGTGGACCCTGTCGAGATATCCATCCTGTTTGGGATGGAAGCTGAGGGGATTTGGGGTTTGTTTCTTTGTTTGCCTGTTTGTTTCTTTAGCTACCAGGACTCTTTTTGCCATGCCACGTCACAGGAACTTCACTTACAAGTCAAAGTCTCATCTAGCTTCCCCCCCCCCCCCATATCTTATCATCACCGTTATCTTTGCCAAGAGCTTGCAAAGCTAATAAGACACGGTCTTTGATCTTTTGAAGCTCCTCTATTCCTTCCAGGAAAATTTACGAAGAACTTACTATGTACAAGGATTCCTGGAGGTGCAAACTCTCAGTCTAGGTACATGAACCCATCATTTCAAAAATCCATATGAAAAGTGCTAGCCTAAGTTCTGGTCCAGAGCTAAGAAAACACTGAGTAGGGCAGGAGATCTGGCATGCCCAAGAAATCTTTAAAGGAGGACAGTGCCCAGGCTTTCTCATGGTCTCCAACCTTACAACCAAGCCTTTTCCTCCTAAATTGCATTTTACCTTATCCAAGGAATGCTGGGTTTTAGTTATATCATACTTTTTATTTTTAAATCAAGATAGATGTAAGAATCTGCCACATGAATATCAAAACTGCCATCGAATATATTCCTTACCCCGTTATTTAGTTCCCCAAATGAAGTAGTGCACTTTTTATGAGAATACAGCTGATAAATTCTTATAAAGAAATTAGTGCACAGGAGTTTTCCTCTTTGGGAGCAAACTTGTGGTTGCTAAGGGGGAGGAGGATTGGGGAGGGATGGATTGGGAGTTTGGGGTTAACAGATGCAAACTAATATAGAGAGAGAGAATGGATAAACAACAAGGTCCTACTGTATAGCACAGGGAACTATATTCAATATTCTATGATAAACCATAGTGGAAAAGAATATAAAAGAAAGAATGTATATATATGTATAATTGAATCACTTTGCTGTACAGCAGAAATTAACACAACATTGTAAATCAACTATACGTCAATAAAAAAAATTAATTTTTTTTTTTTTTAAAAGAAGTTCTCCTCTTTGGAAGAAGTGGTATGCTTACTTGTGGAATGCAAAAAGGCAATCCATTTTGGTCCTTCTCACCCCTTTTTGCTTTGGCTGCCTGTAATTTCAGAGTTAAATTTAATGCTCAATTATACTTCTTGGGATTTTTTTTCCTTTTATATAATCCAGTATATAAAAAATGATGTGTGTCCAAGGATGTTCATTGTGGCATTGTTTTTAATGACTAAGAATTGGAAACACCTTGAATTCCATCAATAAAGCGTTGGTTAAGTAATTATAGTACATCTAGTAATGAAATATTCTGTAGCCATTAAAGGAATAAGGCAGCCCTATGTGTACTTTCCAGAACTCTTAGGTGAAAAAGTAATGTGTGGAACATGTGTGTGTGTGTGTGTGTGTGTGTGTGTGTGTGTGTGTGTGTGTGCTGTTTATGTATACATAGAATAATACATAAAATATTAGACTATTGCTGGAAGAATATATAAGAAATTGGTTACAGTGGTGGCTTCTGGTGAGGTGAATTCGGTGGCTGGGGGTCAAGGCAGAAGGAAGGCTATCTTTCTACCACGTGCCTTATTTTTTGCCTTTTGAATTTTGTACCATGAGTATATTTTACCTATTCAGAAAATTACAGAAATATTAAAAAATTTTAAATGAATTCAGTGCTCATTCATAGGAAATATTTTATTGAAGATTCACAGAGTAATTCATTTTTACTTTACTCTTCATCATATTAATTGCAGTTCCTTAAGGGCTTTGGGAAATCTTTGTCTCCCCTGAAATTTCATTTTTCATATTTATAGCATTCATTAGATTATTAAAGGTAACTACGACAAGGACCAGTGCCCTGTTTATTCTTCTTCTTCTTTTTTTTTTTTTGGTAATGATTTTACATGGTCCAAAAGCAAAGCAATAGCAGTAAAGCACCTGGTTCTTTTTTCTACAGATCACTGCCCCCCACCCCCACATCAAAACAGTATAAAAGGTATTTACTGAGTGCCTGATGGGTTCTGATCAGTTTTTATTTTTCTGCAACTATTCTACTGCATATATCCTTTTATTGGAAGCTATCTCAAAGCCTTCTGAGATGGAGGCTGGATGTAAAGTATTAAGTAGGTATTAAAATTAAACACCTAAGTGAGACTAGGATGGCTGTCAGTACAATAAGACCCTGGGAGGAGGCGGCTCTGTTGACTTCACAGGCAGGGTGTTGATGCCTGCTGTGTCCATGCCATAGAAACTGTTTTGCTGAGACTGAGTGATTAGGGGCTGATACCTAAGCTTGACCTTGGAACATCAGCCTTCAGGTCAAAGGGAAAGTAACTCTTTATCTTTTGGTGGTAGGAAGGCCCTGTGGCTGCAGGAGTCATAGCATTTATCTGTTGACCTCTGACTTCATTAGAAGCAATGAAACATTTCCTGATATGCCATTTTTCTTCGGCTAAGCCAATAGGCCCACATGCTATTTCCTGAGATGTTTGTCTAGGCAGCTGACTCCTCTAAGCTACACAACCGTATCATTCTTCTGAATATTTTATGATAAAGCAGCTTGTTTTCTGTGCCTCTCTACCTCTGTAGACTTGTTTTCAGTTTTAACTGAACAGAGTCAGTCAGAAAGGTTCCATGGGGGACCTCAAACATGGTGGGCCGATATGTCTTCACCCAAAGAATTTCCTTGACATTGTTTGCCAGTGGTATTGTTCAAGTTAGAAATTTTGGCAAACAAAATCAACAATAACAATTATTAAATATTTACTATGTTAAGGTACTATAATCATTACATTTTTATGATACCTCCTCTCTTTTTCTCTACCTTTTGAAGTCTCCCATCTAAGAGCTAGAAGTTGTCTTAAGCTCATCTATTCTGATGCCCCTATGTTCCATTTGAAGAAATGGAGGCATAGAAATCTTCATTATTCAGCTTCAAATTACACAGTTATTTAGTGGCAGAACTTGAATTCAGTGCTCATTATACTGATTAAGTCTGGGAAAGGTATAGAATGTGCTGATGTTGGTGAATGCAGGGTGGGCATTTGGATTGTAAAAGGACACAAAGCAATGAGATCAGCCTCTATCAGCCACAAAAAATGGATTAGATATTGTGTGTGTGTGCTTTTTTTTTTTTAATACAAAAGGTAAAATAGAGCATGGTTTTTCTAAGATAATAATCATTCTTTCAAGAAATATTTATTGTGTGCCAGATACAATGCTAGCTACAGAGGATACAAACATGAATAAGACATGCTTCTTGGTCCTATTTAATAATGTAATACTATATAACTTTGATTTTCCAAGTGAGAAAGTATGTAGGAGGAGGATATGAAATAACATTTATGATGAGAATGCATTCAGAGAGAGAAAGAAATTAAATGCACTAAAAGTAAATATTCTAATACTTAATAACAGTGAATTGATTCTCCCTTAAAGGGATTTCGATAGATATTATAAGATTATCC